TCCGGAGGTCTGAGACTTTATTTTCTAGTATCAGATCGATGGCATTGGACCCAAGAGGAGCACCAAGGAGAGTGCTATTGGCTGGATCAATGGTTCGTGCTCCTGTTAAAACGGCGCTAATATTCTGGATCATCTGTTGATTGGTAGAAAGTATTTCACATTTGGTGGCGTTTAAAGAAAGGCCCAGGCTTTCTCCCATGTCTTTAATTTTACTGATGTCCTCTAGGAGAGATTCTGTTGTGCTAGCTAGGGTGCCATCGTCCATATATATATATGTATATGTATATATATATATATATATATATATATATATATATATATATATATTATATATATATATATATATATATATTTATATATATATATACATATAATATATATGGACGATGGCACCCTAGCTAGCACAACAGAATCTCTCCTAGAGGACATCAGTAAAATTAAAGACATGGGAGAAAGCCTGGGCCGAATATGTAAAACTGGTCAATTAGCATGAACTCATTTAAAATTAAATCCTTTCTAAAATTTTCTCTTGTACGTTTAAAGATATATTTTTTTCATTAATGTTAATGTAAAAATATTTAATTTTGCACCAAAAGAATCTTAGAAAACTTACCTAACCTTATTATAACAAGAACAGTTTATTTTAGCCTAACCCAACTAAATATATTTTAGATTTGTTTACAATAATTTAATACTAAGCAAACACAGTGAAATATATTTTTTTCGTTAGGTTCAGAATGATTTTGGCGAAATTATTGCATACACAAATTTTCACTTGTCCTATATGGCAAGGTGAGCGTTGCTATTTAAGCCAAGATCGCAAGTTCTGCCTATTCGGCACGACATATATATATATAATTATATATATATATATATATATATATATATATATATATATATATATATATATATATATTTATAATTATATATATATATATATATATATATATATATATATATAAATATATATAATATATATATATATATATATATATATATATGCAAAACAACCACTCTGAAAGAATAGAGAAATTCCAAGCGCTTTCGTGACTACTCACATTATCAAGGAAAATATGAAAGTGAAGCATCCAAAGGGAAACTATATAAGGGGTCCGGCCAGCACCTCACTATCAGATCCCACAACGATTAAACACGTGACACGCGGCGAGCCAACTTGGATAGGTCCTTTGCACAACTCACCCCCAAGCTATTTATTTGTCCAGTGTATTATTAAATTCTTCCAAATTCTATTAATTATAAATGGATCTAATTTATATAAACCAAAGGAAACATTCATATTATTGTCAAAACTGCTTTTTATGAAACAAGATTCAATTATATTCCTGTCGACCATGGACTTGCTTGATACTACTTTCTCAACTTTTTGAAAATCAATTGGATGGTTAAAATCTCTTACATGAATAAATAGAGCATTGGAATCTTGTCCAGTTCTAATGCTACATTTATGTTGTTTTAATCTTAGTTCGAGATTTTTACCAGTTTGACCGTAATAAACTTTATCGCAAATTTTACAAGGAATCTTATAGACACATCCATCAGCATTTTGGGGGGAATTCTTTATCAAAAGTTTTTTTACTGTATCAAGATTTTTGAATACAACTTTAATATTAAAAGTCTTAAGAAGAGAAGGCATATCAACCAAGTTTTCATGGTAAGGGAGAACCAACATATTTTTAGTTGAATAAGGCTGGTTGCCCCTTTTTGGATTATAAAAAGTGTTTCTAGCAACTTTAAAAGATTTATCAATTACATTTCTTGGGTATTTTAAATCATTACCTATTTCATAAATTTTGGATATTTCCTCATCTATGAACTCAGGACTAAAAATTCGTAAAGCTCTCAAAAACATTGATGAGAAAACAGACAGTTTGACTCTATCTTGATGTGAGGAATAATAGTGGACATAGGAACAGTTATTTGTAGGTTTTCTGTAAATTTTAAATTTGAATTCATTATTACCCTTAATAATTAAAACATCTAGAAAAGGCAATGAGTTATTTTCTTCAAACTCAATAGTAAAGTTTATAGATGGGCTAAGCTATTTAATTTTCCAAGAAAATGGTGTATATCTACATTTTTGGGCATAAGACACAAAATATCATCAACATATCTGAACCATTTAGCTCTATTAGGGAGGATTGTGTTAAGCAACCTTGTTTCAAAAAATTCCATGTATAGGTTACTAAGAACAGGTGAAAGAGGATTTCCCATTGCCATACCAAACTTCTGAGTGTAAAACTTATCATTAAATACAAATTTTGCATCAACAATGCAAAGTTTAATAAGTTTAATGATAGTAGGAACTGGCAATGGTAAATCATAGTTAACGAGTTCTTCAGATAAGAAACTTATCTATTTATTCATGTAAGAGATTTTAACCATCCAATTGATTTTCAAAAAGTTGAGAAAGTAGTATCAAGCAAGTCCATGGTCGACATGAATATAATTGAATCTTGTTTCATAGAAAGCAGTTTTGACAATAATATGAATGTTTCCTTTGGTTTATATAAATTAGATCCATTTATAATTAATAGAATTTGGGAAGAATTTAATAATACACTGGACAAATAAATAGCTTGGGGGTGAGTTGTGCAAAGGACCTATCCAAGTTGGCTCGCCGCGTGTCACGTGTTTAACCGTTGTGGGATCTGATAGTGAGGTGCTGGCCGGACCCCTTTTATAGCTTCCTTGGATGCTTCACTTTCATAGTTCCTTGATAATGTGAGTAGTCACGAAGCGCTTGGAATTTCTCTATTCTTTCAGAGTGGTTGTTTTGCATATTTTGAAATCACCTGTTTACTGTGATCTTATTGCATATTATATATATATATATATATATATATATATATATATATATATATATATATATATATATATATATATATATATATATATATATATATATATATATATATATATTTATATATATATATATATATATATATATATATATATATTGTTTGTGTGTGTGTGTGTGTGTGTGTGTTGATGTGTGTGTGTTGTGTGTGTGTGTGGTGTGTGTGTGTGTGTGTGTGTGTGTGTGTGTGTGTGTGTGGTGTGTGTGTGTGTGTGTGTGTGTGTTGTGTGTGTGTGTGTGTGTGTGTGTGTGTGTGTGTGTGTGTGTGTGTGTGTGTGTGTGTGTGTTGGGGTGTGTGTGTGTGTGTGTGTGTGTGTGTGTGTGTGTGTGTGTGTGTGTGTTGTGTGTATGTGTGTGTGTGTGTGTGTGTGTGTATGTATGTGTCGTGCCGAATATGTAAAACTTGCGATCTTGGCTTAATTAAATATCAACGCTCATCCTGCCATATAAGACAAGCGAAAATTTGTGTATGCAATAATTTCGCAAAAAACATTTAGAACCTAACGAAAAAATTATATTTCATTGTGTTTGTTTAGATTTAAATTACTGTAAACGTATCTAAAATATATTTAGTTGGATTAGGCTAAAATAAATTTCGCTTGTTATAATATGGTTAGGTAAGTTTTCTAAGATTCTTTTGGTGCAAAATTATATTGACACCAATACTTCGCAAAATTTCTGAAGCCCACATAAAAAACAGTTTTGATCTCAGTGACAAATTGCGCTTGTTCCCGATCTTATCTGAAAGAGACATTGGATGAGTTTTCCATGGCTTTCGATAAGAAAACCATTATTGAGCTGATTAAGTTGTATGTAGTTGATTGCAAGTTTGAGATTGAAAGGGAAACCTAAGCTCATAGGTTGGAAATAGCTATGGGAAATCTATTGTCTGTGGAGTTTCTCGAGGCTTTGCTTTTGAAAGATATCCTTTCCTGTAAAACTAAATGGTTCAGACATGTGCTTGACATCTTGTATCTTTGGCTCTGGAAACATTTTTACCGAGACTTAACGCTCTGGTTTCTGTCTGTTAAATTCACCATGCATAAAGAAGTGTAATCTAAATTTCCATTCTTAGATGTATTGACACACCTAGTTGACAGAAAGTTCGAATTTACTGTATATTGGAAGGCCATTAATGTGTGCTCATACATTCACTATTACTTTAGTCATGAGACACGAGTAAAAAGAAGTGTCTTTCTGTGTTTCTGAGAGCTTACCGAGTATTCAGTTCTCAGTTCCTTAATGAAGAAATTAGGAAAATATCTGAAATTGCCACGAAAATGCGGTACCCTAAGGAATTTGTGGAGTCGTAGTTGCTGGCAGCTAGGATAACTTTCATAAGGCTGAACGTAGGATAACGCCTTAGATCAAGAATATGCTGGTTCTCCCGTACAATAAGAATTTATCTGTCCTACCGAATATCCTTAAAAGATCTAACAGACAGGTAGTTTTTAAGAGTTCACGGACTGTTAAAAGCATTTTGATGAAGAATTCTCCTCTACATTGTGTTGTTGGGAATTTACAGAATTGGTATACCTGGAGAGGATTTCGGGGTCAACGCCCCCCACGGCCAGTTCTAAGATCAGGCCTAGTGGTGGATCAGGCTCTGATCACCCAGGCTGTTACTGCTGGCTGCACGTAAACCAACGTAAGAACCACAGCCCGGCTGATCAGGTACTGACTTTAGGTTGCTGTCCAGCGCCTTCCTGAAGACAGCCAGGGATCTATTGGTAATGGTGTCTTCCTATCATATGTGGTATCAGTGACTGGGTGGATTGAAGCGCCAAAGTTTTACTCTCTGAGTGGAGGTCTTTCATTAACTCTGACTTCTAAGTTACACTCTTTTATTTTGTTAACAAAAATAGAACATACAGTGTATAAGGATAATTTCTTGATTCTGAATTTTATATTTTTTAAAAGATATTTAATTAATACGGAATGATTTGCTGAAACCACTGAAGATAAATTCCAGTGCATTTTTCTTTCCCTAAGCAATAACATAAAAAAATATCTATAACAAGCTTTCAAAATTTCACAACACTGTGTTTAGTTTCGTAAGAAGTATGCTGACTGGATGAAACAATTATTCATTCTTAAAGGTTCAATATTGATTCGTACTAGAGCCTTGTTGGCCATGAAGTGCGTGTGGGCAGCAATAATACGTCCAACTGTGTTGTCATACCTGCATTCTCCTGCACGCTGCAGACTCAACTCTTCTCACTAGTCCACTCGTCGACACCCACCACCATGGTAAGCTCTTCCCAATTAGCAGTCTCACGCATATATTATACTGCACAAATTATTTTGTCTTGCGCCTTGTGTTAATGAGCGTGTAATAGTATTGATAGACACAGAGTGAGAAATACTTTTGCACGTTGAATAATGAAGTTATCTTGTAGTCTCAGGTGATCACACATGCCCACATGTTGCTGGAAGATGCTAGAATCATGTGATCGTGGCCCTTCGAGGAGGGAAAGGGTGGGGGAAAAGGAATTGCCTCTATACAGATGAAGGGTTCTTGATCCAAGGAACTGGTGCTACTTTCTCCTTCCTTGGATCAAACTAGATTGCCTCCCATTTCCCAGGCTAAGTATTGGCCCTTTCCGGTACGTAATGCTGGTTATGGCATTTTACTGTGAAGACGTTTCGTCCATCAAGGACTTTATCAAGTCCTTGGCGGAAGAAATGTCTTCGCAATAAAATGCATATACCGCATTAAGTTGCTTATTTACATTATCCTTACGTGTTTTAACTTTTCCCTATTACAGTAACATTTCTTGACCTCAACAGAGACATGAGGATAAGAGGGACACTTTAGAAGTTCCTTTGCCATGACCAGCTGTTAGTACGGTTCGTTGACGGAGTTATTGAGCCATATAATTGGTATTCGTTGAGAAGTCTAGCCTTCTCGTTTGCTCACTGCTATGCCTAGTCATATCTGAGAGGGAGGCCTCTTGGCCTATGTATGAGGCACACATGGTGGTCACGTGACATCAGGCTTGCCCAGGGATCCTACCTATAAATGCTGTTAAGAAATATAGATGTATATTACACCAGTAATATTGTCGACATATCGGCAATACTAACGTATGATGTCTTTGACATACAGCTAAAAACTAATACATAAGGTAGACAGCAGACGTTTCAGGCTCTGGGCTGATTCTATACTACAACCTAATGCATAACAAATAATTCTGGGTCATGGGAACAAACGAGATTAAATAAGATCAAATGATATTGAGACATCATTATTCATGTATCTATGCATTCTGAGGAAGATTATTTACAACGAAGAAAGTGTTTAACAGAAAAGGCATACTTGGTACACTCATGTTTTTTACTGTTAAATCTCAGAATTCGGAAAAAACGTGAACATTAAGAAGAAATAAAAAATTTGATCCACACATAGACTGACATGTTATAAGACTTGTTACACTCAGTTGAGTATTGACTAAACTATTCTAATCATCTATACAAGTTACTTACATTAATCCCAACTTTCAAGGGGAAGCAAATTCTGTGATAATGGCTAAAACATGACGTGACTGAGTAGGATTACCAGGTAACTCATCAACATCTTCACATACAAACTTCGTATGACATAAATGCGATTCTTTATGCTGACCACTACTAATATCTCTAACTTTATACTTGTTACCACATATATATTCAACTTCTCGGCAGGGACCAACAAACTTTTGGTCAAGTTTGGCACTGCGGATATTTTATTGAAATTAGTTAACATAACTCCCGAGCCTGCTTTAATTTTGGTTAGCTTTGCGCTAGTGTTAATGACGTTTGTAAATTCTGCTCGAATTCTTCTGAAAACTCTTTGAGGTAAGCTAACCCCGACTCTTCTCCTTTCTCTGCACTTCTTTTCCTCCCCCCCCCCCCCATCTATTCTTCAACTATCCTCACGTCCCCCTCATCCCTAGTGGGTCCTTACCTGTGAGTCTCTTCTTCTTAGTCGTTCTTAAGACATCCACTACTTTCTTATTTTTTTTTTCGGCTGGCAGGATGATGTGGAACAATGGCTGACTTAGAGATCTTGTACAAAGTACACAACTTTTCAAGAATCTTATTGCAGAATTCACCTCCATTATCTTTACGATGGATTTAGGAGTATTATGCTTGCGTATTATACGTTCCTTAAACGCTTTGGCTACTGTCTCGGTAGTCTTATCCCTATAGGTACTAACTCACAGTATCTGTTGAAATGGTCTACCATTGCACACAGATGCTTGTTGCCCTAGAGGGAACATTGCATTTTTTTAACAAATCTAGTGCTACCCTTTCCCAAGGTTCGCTGGTAGTGGGATATACTTGGATTGGATTTGCCAACTAACATTTCCTTTATGCTGCAGGCAAACATTACATTTCTTAAAATATTCAGAAACCTCAGTTTCAATGAGAGGCCAAAAGTTATTTAATCTGGCTTGTTTCATAGAACTAGTGAGCTAGCTCGAGGGCTACGTTAACTAGCGTCTTTGGAATTACTAACTGACGTTAGTAATTCTGCTTTGCGATATAATATTTCTTGGTTCATAACAAAGTCATTGATAGGTGCTGGTGGTTTCCCAGAGAGTGTCTGATCTTCCTGCAGAAGAAATCACATCACGCCAGACTGTATAGGATCTAATCTTTGGACATTCTTTACATCCTCCAAACTGAATGGAGAATCTGTTACTACTGTACTGATATGTCGAAATAAAGCATCTGCAGCTACATTTGATTTGCCAGGCAAGAGTTCAGAGGGTGGATTGAACTCTCGAATATTCAGGTAAAGGACCATCTGGCTAATCTTCCAGCTGGTTGCTTATTGTAGAATAGAAGTCTCAGTGGAACGTGATCTATTAAGACATGAAGAGGGTAATGATATATGATGTCTTGGAAGTGTTTTAAAGACCAGACTATTGCTAACGCTTCTTGCTCAGTTACTGTATAATTCCGTTCAGCCTTAGTAAGGACATGACTAGTAAATGCAACTGGGTTGTCCTGCCTATAGGTCTGTCGAGCTAGAGTGGCACCTATGCCAATGGAACCAGCGTCTGCTGTTAGTTAAAACGGCTTGGAAAATTTTGGAAATTTCAAAACAGGAGCAGAAGTTTACATTTCTTTTAGAGTTTGGAATGTCTTGATGGAAGGTCCAAATGAAAGAAGCATTTTTCTTCAGCAACTCAGTCAGAGGAGCTGAGAAAGAAGAGAAATTGGCAGTAAATGATCAATAAAAACCTTCTAAGCCCACAAAGGATCTTATGGCATCATCAGATTTTAGTGATGAAAAATTTTGTACAGCAGTTACTTTAGTCAATCACTACCCCTCTAGGAGTGACTACATGATCCAAAAAAATTGACATTCAGATAGTTTGATCTTTAAATTGCCTTCTTGAAGCTTAGCAATTACCAAATCAAGACTTTTGAGATGTGTTTCCAAATCTTCGGACATGACAGTTACTTTATCTAGGTACACCATTGGTACGTTACTCTAGAGGTCTCTAAATAACTTCATCATGAGTCTCAAAAATGTGATAGGTGATAAGAATAAACCTAAGGCCATTTTGAGGAAATGGTAATAACCTGTAGGAGTGGAAAACGTGATTAGCTCTTGGATGTCCACGTGAAGAGGGACTTGCCAAAACCCTTTTCTAGGGGTAGAAAAGACTTTGTTATCTCCAGTATTACACAAAAAGTCACCAAGTGTAAGAAGTGGGAAATGATCTGCTATCGTTTTAGAATTTAACTTCCTAAAGCAAATCACCAGGTGGCAAGTACCATCATACTTAGGTACTAGGATCAAGGGTGCATTCCATGGTGAATCAGTATGTGGGATGATGCTATCATCAAGCATCTTAATGACTAATTCTCCTGCAACAGAAACTTGTGAATGAGGCATTCTGTATGCAGGTACATAAATAGGCCTAGCCCTAGGTTCAAGTGGAATACAACGGGACGGTACAGTTTACAGCAATGTGTCCCTTGTTTCCACAATTGTAACAAGTTCTCATACTACGGCTGCTGTATGCACTTCTTGCACTACGAGCAGAATGACAACTTGTTACACTAACCCTCGACGACTGGACATTTACAGGATCTTGTGTTGCTATGCAAACAGAAGGTTGTTCAGAAGGTGTTGCAGAACTGCTTAAAGTAGGGTTGATATAAGGGAAAGTACCTGGAGCAGAAAATGCACATGCTTCCAGCAGGACTGCTAGAGGTTCCATTTCTACAGTCGGAGGAGCAGTAGCTGTACACACGTATAAAGAAGAGAGCAGTATCAAATTCCTAATATAACCAAAGGCCGCTCGTTTGCCAGAATATAGGGTACAGGGTTTAGCGATATCAGGTATTAAAGTTAAGCTTTCACTGACGTACTGTATACAGACAACTTAGGCGAGTTGAGAAATTACCTAATAGTTCACCTGCAATAGGCATTGCATCCACTAATTCACAAAGAATGGAACATGAATCAGAAAGGAATAGGGATATGATCGGCCTAGCTGACATCAATGACATACTACTATATAGAGAGCCCCGCATTATGCAGAGCATTTCGGGTAAATTGCGTCAATTTTGTTCCAGAATGAGATCCACACCAGTCGACTAACACCCAGGTACCTATGTTACTGATAGGTGAGCATGGACAGGTGTCTTAAGGAAACACGTCCTAATGTACTGATAGGTGAGCATGGACAGGTGTCTTAAGGAAACACGTCCTAATGTTCCACCCGTACCGGGGATCAACCCCTCGAACCTCAGTGCGCTAGCAATCGAGCTACGAGAACCCTTAATATAATTGTGTAATTATGATTGTAATATAACTGTACTCAATAAGGAAAAGTTACTTCAGTTTGTAGAGAGAAAAATAGGACAAAAAATAACAGAAAATTATAACACAACACCAGGGAACACTTAAGTCGGTATTAACAAGGGAATTAACAAAGAATTTTACACTGAGACATAAGAGTCTCTGACACAATGTTCATGAATCACTAGCCATCAGCAAAAATTTACTTTAGGTTATTAAGAATGTTCTAACACACGCAAATGTCTTTATAAACGACGTAGGATATTGACTGAAGGTATGGGAGGTGGTGGAGAGATACATAGGGTGACAGCTTCCCTGGTGACGGCGCGACACCTTGCAGCTTCTCACAAAGTCACTGAATCTGAATGAATTTGCACATTCACACGATGACCCACAGACACTCGGCTTCATCGTTGACACACAAATCAATCGGTTCTTGACCTGGTGTGTGGGCGAGGTAGATAAGGATGATGAAGGCAGATATGTGGCTGGCCCACGTGGTATAAGAGGCGGCTGAATGCGGTGTTGTGATGGGAATAAGCACATGGTGGCTAGGCGCGCTGCTTATGGCTTGCACACTCACGCACACAAAACTGCCTGCCTTAGTAAACATAACAACACCCTACGAAACCAAAAGACTAGGCAGGTGATGCAACATCCCCCCAATGAAAATCAGGCTCGCCACGAGTACTCTAAGAGAAAACACAATAAGTGTCAGTGCCTGACCAGCCGGGCTGTGGTTCGTACGTCAGCTAGTGTGCGGCCAGCAGTAACAGCCTGGTTGATCAGGCAATGATCCACCACGAGGACTGGTCACAGACTAGACCGCAGGAGCCTTGACCCCCAAAACCCTCTCCAGGTATACTCTAGGTATCCATCAGAGTGGAGGCATGGTACTTCCCATCTCCTGGACTCAAGTCCGGCCTACCGGTTTCCCTGAATCCCTTCATAAATGTTACCTTGCTGACACTCCAACAGCACGTCAAGTCATAAAAAAAAACATTTGTCTCCACTCGCTCCTGTCTAACACAATTTCTGGAATTCCAAATCCCTTGCACACAAAACCTCCTTTACCCCTCCCTCCACCAATTCCTAGGACGACCCCCACCCCTCCTTCCTTTAATTACAGGTTTATACGCCCTCGAAGTCATTCTATTTCCTTCCATCCTGTCTAAATTCCCAAACCACTTCAACAATCCTTCCTCTGCCTTATGGATAATACTTTTAGAAATCCCACACCTCCTTCAGAGACAACTCACTCAGAAATGTTCAAGATATGTCAAAGTATTTTATCCACAATGGTATATTACAAAAGATTCCGGAAAAATACCCTGACTTTGCTCACTGTAAATAAAACATTACCATTTATGTGTGTGTGTGTGTGTGTGTGTGTGTGTGTGTGTGTGTGTGTGTGTGTGTGTGTGTGTGTGTGTGTGTGTGTGTGTGTGTGTGTGATGTGTGTGTGTGTAATTTGTGTGGTGTGTGTGTGTGTGTGTGTGTGTGTGTGTGTGTGTGTGTGATGTGGTGTGTGTGTTTGTGTGTGTGTGTGTGTGTGTGTGTGTGTGTGTGTGTGTGTGTGTGTGTGTGTGTGTGTGTTGTGTGTGTGTGTGTTGTGTGTGTGTGTGTGTGTGTGTGTGTGTGTGTGTGTGTGTGTGTGTGTGTGTGTGTGTGTGTGTGTGTGTGTGTGTGTGTGTGTGTGTTTGTGTGTGTGTATGTTTTCATAAATAACACATGACGATTGTGACTAGATATAAACATGTAAATAGTTCAGTACCATTGTAACTCGTTCAGCTATCAGTCTGCGGTTCAGTCCATGGACCCATTATGTACCTCTGTAATCTTTTGACTACCGTCCACAGGATGGTATGGGCTGCACAATAAAGACATCTTAACTGCTATAAATGTTGCTAGTAAATATAAGAAATGTAGGAGATGTATACTACACAAGTAATACTGTTCTTAAAGTTCAGTTACTCGGTTAATCGGTTAGCTGATTAGTTGATTTAAAAACTTTCGACTCCCTGAGGGCCATTAAGCCTGCATCCAACCTGCTCACCGAAAGTTAGGAACATTTTATCTCATGAATGTGGAATTAAAGAAAACTCTCTGTTTATATATACTGAGAGACATACACCTCCCGCTGTATATATTACAGTAGGTTAGTTATTATTCTAACTACAATTAATAAAAATATTTTAATTATTATACTGTATTATTATAATTATTATATATTTCAATAGTGAATAATATTTGCTTTCGTTATTATTATTGCTTCCGTAATATTTTCAAATATTTCTGTGAGTTACATGTAAATAATTCAAATAGCTTTTTTTTTTTTAATGTCAATTGCCCAATATGTTCATGCTATGAAATATAACCACGAAGATTAGTTTCAGTGGAATGAAAACGAGTCCTCCACTGAGTAATATCGTTATATAATTGGTTGGCTGGATATTTGCATTGAAAGCCTATCGACTACACAAGGGCCATTCAAGGTGCATATAACCTATTCACTACCATGAAAGAATACTTTAATCCCTGAAATATGGATTAATCGTAGTCTACATACACTGAGAGACACAACTCTCTGAGTGATAAAACCTTGATTGCGTTTGCAATAATATTAATTTTCTTTTAATAATTTATCTTCATAACTTCGTGATAAATGTCACTTATTTTTTATGTAAATATGTAATGTAACCATAATATAATTTATAGTATGACTAAACTACGTTAAAAATTACATCGACTTGGTTAAGATTTTTCAAAAACTTTTCCTTTCGTTTCACTGACCACGCAATTGATATTTTTTCAGGATACCGCCAGGATACATCTGGTTTTCCTGGTGCTGTTCTCTCTTGGAGAAGTTAAGGGATGAGCTTTAGTCGTCAGGGATATGGGAGTCATAAAGAAGATACTGATCAAAAACTACTGTACAACTTCACTGAACTCTCTCACGTTACATCTACGCATAACAAGGCGCTGTTAATGAAGACCAGTTGTCAGCGAGAGGAAAGTCAAATTTCTAACGATACAACCGATTCTCTTCCAGTCCAACCTGAGGGCCAGCTGCCACAGGTTAGGGATTATGACTCGAAATATGCAAATAAGGAATCACCAGAGATTAGTTATCAAGACCAACTTTTGGAAGTAAGTGCCCACAAGGATAAGAACATTGTGAGACGAGATACTAGAAGAAATCTTGAAGCTGGAAATGAAATGAGACAAACTTTGAACTGGACAACACCAGACATTATGCATCACGAAAGACAGCACCGTTCACATAATAGGCTTCCAGATATACAAAAAATTGAAATTCAGTCTCATTATAGAAGAGAACTTAAAAATCCTCCATTTAATCAAGCAAGACTTAAAGATGAAGATGTTTGGCTGCGAAACACAGTAGATTCTCAGCAGCAACTTAGAGGGAATATTCTCCGTGGGCAAGATGTCGCCTTGTTACAACCACATCAGGGGCAAGATGTCACCTTGTTACAACCACATCAGGGGCAAGATGTCACTTTGTTACAACCACATCAGGGGCAAGATGTCACCTTGTTACAACCACATCAGGGGCAAGATGTCACCTTGTTACAACCACATCAGGGGCAAGATGTCACCTTGTTACAACCACATCACGGGCAAGATGTCGCCTTGTTACAGCCACATCAGGGGCAAAACGCCATCTTGTTACAACCACATAAGGGCCAAGACGTCAACTTGCAGCAGTTTCGTAAGAAGCAAGATATCAGTTTGTTACAGCCTCGACAGGGGCAAGATGTCAGCCTGCAGCACCAGTCTCATCAAGAGCAAGATATCAACTCTTATCAGCCATATCAGAGGCAAGATGCCAGCTTGCTTCAATCTCATCAGGGGCGAGATATCAGCCTTCTACAGCCATATCAGACGCAAGATGTCAGCTTTCTACAGAAAAATAATGAACAATATGTCAGCTTTCAACAACCACTTCAGGGACAAAATATCAGCATTCTTCAGCCACGTCGAAGGCAACATGCTAGTTTGCAGCAAACACTTCATGACGAGAGATATCAGTTGCAAGATAGCATGCAGCAACCACAAAGGAGGGAAGATGTCACTTTTCTACATCCACTTCAGGGACAAGATGTCAATTTGATTCATTCGCATCAGAGAAAGGGCACCAACCTGCCAGGCAAATTACAAGAGCCTCAGCATCAGGAAGGTATATTCCCAGAGCATAAAGCTAAATTGTCAATAGTCCAGAATAAACTCGTACATCATTTACATGAGACATCCGTTCCAGAACCTCAAATTCAAGAATTAAAAACTCACAACAATGAGATAGGAAAACGACATCAGCATGATGAGAACTTTTTTGAGAATCTTACTTACGGGGTTCCTGAACATGGCAAGAAAGCAATAGAATCAAGAGAAATAAAATTTATTCCTACAGAGAACGAACATAAAACAGACTCAGTTAGCATGTACCACCAGAACTCCAGTCATCCAGGCGAGTCAGTCCAGGGTTCCATTGGGCTTCAAGAGGAATCGCACCATCCAACAACTGAAGGGATAGAACATACTCATCCCCACTACCCACAACCCAAACAGTTCGATCTGTATGGTAGGTCTATTCACATTTTACGTAAAAAAATTTAATCAAAACATTTTATTAGCAATCACACACACACACACACACCACACACACACACACAACACACACACCACACACACACACACACACACACACACACAAACACACACACACACACACACACAGAGTAGTCAGGAAGTGGAATAGTTTAGGAAGCGATGAAGTGGAGGCAGGATCCATACATAGCTTTAAGCAGAGGTATGATAAAGCTCAAGGTTCAAGGAGAGTAACCTAGTAGCGACCAATGAAGAGGAGGGGCCAAGAGCTTGGACTCGACCCCTGCAACCTCAACTAGGTGAGTACAACTAGGTGAGTACACACACACACACACACACACACACACACACACAGTGTGAGGGTGAGCATGGCAATTATGAGAACATTTCGTGAAGCATTTATTTTCATTAGGTCTAAAATAAGATAATTGCAGTGTGAAAATTACAAATTTTAAGAAAATATTAAAAACGTTAAATTACAGATCAGTAAGTATTTCCTGTTTTAGTTTTTCTTTAAATGTCCTTTTATATTTTATATTTGCAGGTAGAGTACATGCTGAAGGCAACGGGAAGGCGACTACCCAACACAGAGGAAAATCGACTGTGGAGGAGGGCTCTGTTAACATGGATGTAACAGACATACATTCAGAGCATGGAGGAGGTACAGGGCAACACCTTAAAGGTAATGGAACTCCTCGGTATACGGAATATTATCCTTCTGTAACCGCAGCTTTAGCCGACAAGGATGGAGAGAACACTGATGATTCGCACGCGGAGAATCTCCCGACGAACGAACTTGTTCTTCAAGGTAGAAGTGACCTACAACCCGAGGAGTACAGAAGCCAAGTTGGCCTCGGTACTGCTATTTCTGGTGAGTGTGACTCCCCTCTTCAAGAAACTAGCAGCAGTGCCATGTCAAAAAATTATACTTCTCTCAGCGATAAACCGAATGAGAAAAGCAATTCATTAACTCAACATTCCATGAAATTCATACCTAGAAGAAGCCAGTCTAATGAGGGCTTAGTTTCACAAACTAATCGAAAAGTTTTTGAAGACAGTGATATATATCAACTCAACAGCGGTGAGGTAACAACTGAAGGAAATACCGAAGCTATTTCGACAAATGGTTTCAATCAAAACCAAACTGGAAACAATACTGAAGGTCAAGACTCAGTGAAGTATTCTGACGACCTCTCCAGAGGCTACCAAAATGTTAAAAATATAGGGAGTCTTGATAATGGCAAGAGTGCAGCCCGCTACATAACCGACGAAAGTTATAATATAGTAAATTCTGTTCCAAACATTTTACAAGTTGATGATAATCGAAAATATATATATTCAGAGAAAATGAAAGATATTCCTTCATTTATTCCAATTACTGAACAATATAGTAACTATGGGAGCAAAAGTGAAATTTTTTCCGGAACGAAGCTCAAACTAAACGAAGACGTCGATAACAATGAGAGTGTGAAGTTTTCCAATGTTAACAGTTCAGTGGCTCCTGAAAATTATGATATAACGGCCCTTGTAACTAAAGCAGCGCAACAAACTGGTAGTGATGGAACAGTATCTAACAATATTAATGATTCGGAGGCCAGTAACAGTTACGGTGTGAATGATTCTTTTGTTTCAAAAGAAACTGGAAGTGTTCGCCCGAAGTTTCAAGACGCTGAGTTGTCTGATAGTCACAAATTAGGAATTACAAACAAAAATAGCCCAGATTTCAGTGGCGATGTTAGGAAACAAACAAGTGCATACACAGGTAAAACATATTTTTCCAATATATCTTTTGGCGATAGTACAAAAGCTTTTCACGTAAATGACTCACAGGTCAACATTAACAATAGCTTAGAGACAAATAAAAGTGTTGAATTAGAGATCCAAGGTGCTGATGACTATGATGCTGTTGAAATAATAGATTCAATGGTTTTACACCAAGATAATGAAGCAATGGATACTGATTTTACATCCTATAATGATGATGTGCAACAAGTCAGAGATGAAGTAGTTTTTAATGGGCAACGGATTTCTGGTTCCAGTGCCTATGCTAACACCAAAGGCAATGGTTCTGATCCTGAGGTCTCACACAGTAAACAGTGGAACGGTCGTATTGCTTATAACTCAAGAGAAAATTATATAAAGATGCAAGAAAGCAAAAAATTCAATGATACTGATGAGATTGTATCACCTGCTACTCGACTTGGTAGCCCAAAATTCACTGGTAATGATGTAGACGACATTGGTGAAGTTGGAGACGATTTCACTATATCTAAGAATTCCAATTCCATTGTTGACAAAAAATCAGTGGATTCTGTTGTTGATGATGGCATGAAAACAAGTGAGGTCGTTAAAAAAATAGAACCAGGATAGACAGAGAAAGTCTCCCATGCATGAACTTCTTGTCTCTGATGAAGGAAAGGATGGTGACCCTCTTTTCCCCGAAGATAAGGATGGCGAGTCTCTTATCTCTGAAGATAAGGATGGTGAGTCTCTTATGTCTGAAAATAAGGATGGCGAGTCTTTTATCTCTGAAGGCATTGTTTCTAGGCACGGTAAGTCTAAAGAGTCAGAACAAATTGTCTTTTCAAGCGATGAGCCGGATGTCTCTGCTGATGATGACTCTGAAGCGTCTGTTGACAATGATTCTGAGGACTTTAGTGATGATGAATCTAAGGTGCCTGGTGGAGGAGAAACATCTGGCAATGATGACCTGTCTGAAGTTTTAGAAGAGGAGTCCGAACTTTCCAGTGATGAGCACAAACTTTCTGGTGATGAGTACAAATTTCTAAGTGTTGAGTCCAAACTGCCCAGTGATAAGTCCAAACTTTCCAATGAGGAGTCCAAACTTTCCAGTGAGGAGCCCAAACTTTCCAATGATGAGTCCAAGCTTTCCAATTATGAGTCCAGACTTTCCAGTGAGGAGTCTAAACTTTCCATTGAGGATCATGAACTTTCCAGTGAGTCCAAATTTTCTAAAAGCAAGTCCAAACTTTCCAGTAATGAGTCCAAACTTTCCAATAATGAATTCAAACTTTCCAATAATGAGTCCAGATTTACCAATAATGAGTTCTAACTTTTCAATAATGAGTCCAAACTTTTCGGTAATGAGACAAAACTTTCCAATGATGAGTCGAGATTTTTTGATAAATTATCTAATTTTTCCGGTTATGAGTTCTTACTTCCTTCAATGGAACAGTAATTATGAGGATCCTAAGTCTGAGGACCCTAATAATGGGGATTCTAATAATGAAGATCCTAATATTGAGGATCCTAATATTGAGGATTCTAATATTGAAGATTCTAATGCTGAGGGTGCTAATTGTGGAAAATAATTTCCCAAAATTATGCTGTATATTTTTTATAATGTAAATATACCTGATTAATATATTACTATTGCTCCAAAGTGTATTTTGAAAAGGTGAACCGACAGGGAAGCTCTGCGCCTACGCTGACGAACAGGAAAAGAGACGCCATTGTTTTGAATGTGGTACAGGCCCGCTAATGAAATGTGCATAAATTTCGTCACTCTGGAAGTTAAATTGTGTTTTAAACGTCCCAAATAGGAGCCGAAATTGTTGGATTTGCAGTCCTGCATAACGTGAGCATTAAGCAGATGGACAGGACAGCTTAGGAACCCCACCTAAGTCGTTGTCTATTTATGTTGAGATTCTGGCCAGTATTTTCTTCATAAATTTAGGCCGAGGGGTTGGTATGACACACAGTAATCTCCAGACTAATTGGTGAGTCTTATTATTATAAATTCTACTTCAATGTATATGTATTCACATTTTAAATTTAATATACAGTCCACATATTTATATTAATGTTTACCACAATTCCTGGTGACGTATATTTCATTTGAAATTAATATAGGTCCAGAGTGACTTGTGGAGAGATAGATTATGGTAAGTATCGAAGGGGGACATTTTTTTTGCGACCTAGGTGTCCTAAAATTCCTACTTGTCTCTGTAACCTTGATGATAAAGAATAATTATCTTTGTTACCATTTACTGGTATGTATCTTATGAGTTACATCCAGGTAAATTTAATTTTCCACAATAGTTGCCCGTTGGTCCTTGATCGAACTGGATGTAATTAGTGAAGTCATTAATTAGTGAATTAATTACTTAATAATTATATGTGAAATGACAGAAGGAGGTGGATGTTAGGTCTACAAATTTACTTAATGTGTAGTGGATTATAATTATTACAATACTAAATTTGCTAAGCCAAGTCTGGCAAGGATAAGCCAAGTCTGGCTAAGATTTATATTAATGTGTATTTAAAATTTATATTATAATTTCCTTACTTGTGTAATTGCTATGCTTATGTGTAGCTAGGATTCATATTAATGCATTTAAAATTTATATTATAATTTCCTTGCATGTGTAATTGCTAAGCTCAAGCGTAGCTAAAATTATTAATGTATATTTAAAATTTATATTATAATTTCCTTACATGTAATTGCTAAGCTCAAGTAACTAGGATTTATTCAAGGTAAGTTGTAATAAATAACAAAAAGGCACAATACCGTGACTGGAACGATACACAAAAAACCCGCACATAAAAGACAGAAGCTTACGACGACGTTTCGGTCCGACTTGGACCATTGACAAAGTCACACTAACAGAGGAGGAGCAGGACGGCTATATATAGGCAGGAAGAGGTGGAGGTAGTAGTAGTGGTAGTAGTAGTGGTGGTAGTAGTACAAGAATTGTATATAATACCGACATACCGGCGTCTGGTTGTCTTTGTTGTGGACGTTTCGCCATCCAGTGGCTGGCTGGATGGCGAAACGTCTACGGTGGGGATGCCCGGGTGTTGTGCATGTGTCATTTCATCCTGTCGGTATTATATACAATTCTTGTACTACTACCACCACTACTACTACCACTACTACTACCTCCACCTCTTCCTGCCTATATATAGCCGTCCTGCTCCTCCTCTGTTAGTGTGACTTTGTCAATGGTCCAAGTCGGACCGAAACGTCGTCGTAAGCTTCTGTCTTTTATGTGCGGGTTTTTTGTGTGTGTAAGTTGTAATATTTACCTTTATAAAGTGCATAATTAAGTACATAATCAGTGTTATTAATTAAGATGAATTTAATACATTACGCCATGGGTGAAAATGAGGAAATTAATGTAGATGACAAACATATGGAATTTAGAGGAAAAAAAATCATTGCAGGCTAGAAAGGGTCATGCAACAGAGGCATACAATAGATGTTTGGAATTAATGAATCAAGAAACTGTGAATACTGATTATTTAAAATTGTATTTAGATGCTTTTGGGAATAGATATGATTCATACAAATTATATTATAAAAAATATGAAGGAGATTTGTTTGTAAACTGTGGAGATGAGACAGAAATAAATCTTACGATTAACCAGTATTATGAATTAGAAAAGATTCTTTCTTGTAAAAGTCAGGCTTTGAATAAATTAAAAGGTGTAAACCAGGCAGTTAATCAATCTATTCCAACAAATGAGATGTCTTTGCCAAAACTTCCAGAATTATGTTTACCTGTATTTAATCCTGGAGAAAATTGGGAGGAGTTTAGATCTATTTTTAAAGCAACTGTGCATGATAGGAGTGACCTAGCATGTGTAAATAAATTATTTTACCTCAAAGGGCAGATAAGAGGAGATGCTCGCATTCTCATACAAGCCTTTCCCAATGTAGATGATTCTTACAAAGAAGCAGTTGACTTGTTGAATGTCACTTATGGTAATATAGAACAAAGTAGGTTGGATCTAGTGAATATCATTGTCAATTTAAAAACTCCAGATCACACTTACAAAGGTTTACAGCAGTTTAGAGTTAAACTGGAGAGCACTCTCAAAACTTTAAGTAATAAATATAATCTGAAGGAATCGGACTGGTTATTGAGTGCCATTGTACAGAACAAATTAATCTGTAAAACACTTGAATGACTCTCGAACAAGTATCACAAAGGTTATTTTGGTCTGGAGGAAATAAGACTAGGTCTACAAGAATTAATTGTTCAGTTGCAGACAAGCCAACCAACTCATTTTAAAGATACAACACATAATAACTCTGAGATATCTGTCAAGTTTCACAAGGGGAAAAATTATCTCAATATTAATAATCAAAATTCATTTTCTAAAAAGAGTTGCATAGGTACATATCAATTAGCAGAATCAGAAATAATGATTCTCTACAAGGTAAGAAGAATAAGTACCCTCCTAAGAGTAGCCCAGTTAATAAGAAACCAGTCAAAGAAAAGAGAGATTGTCTTTTCTGCAAGGGTACTCATTTTTCCAAGAATTGCAATGAATACAATTCATGGAATGATAAAGTTGAAAGATTGGAAGAACTTGACTGATGTATCAGATGTCTAGGTAATCACAATGTAAAGGATTGTCATGCCAAATTAAACAACTTTTATCAATGTCACAAAGGAAGACACCATATAGTCATGTGTAAGGGTCTATATGATAATGTTGATAATAATGATAATGTTGACAATCCTGACACAACAGTGGCTAATGTAAAAATTTGCTGCTAATGTTAATAATGATGGTTTTGCTGAAGTAGCCTTACCTGTGTTACAGGTAAAAAATTGATGATAAAAGGCATAAATCAAAAAATGTAATTTGCATTATTAGACCAGGGATCACAACGTACTTTCATAAAACGTAAATGTCTTGATGGGATGAAAGTACAGATGGGAGCTCCTACAAATCTAAAATTATCTGGTTTTCTCTCAGATAAAAGGGCTCAATTGTATGGCGCTGTTACTGTAAATGTCAGTTTGGGCAATGAGGAAAAAACGTGTTAATGCAGTAATTGTAGATAGACTCCCAGAGAAAATATCTACAATAGGGCTTAGTAAAACTACAGAAAGACTTTCACATAATGTAAATTTAGCACCTTCTGGTGTAAATGATGATTCTGTAGGCCCAATAAATATTTTGTTAGGTAGTGACTATTATGCCTCCTATGTAAAGGGTATGGTAAAGAAATGTGGTGTCACCCTTTTAAAGACTGCAGGAGGCCATGTAATGTATGGTAGGATTCCTCGTAATAATAATACATGACTAGAGGAAACTGTAAATACTATAAATGTGTGTCTTACTCATGAAGTCGTGCCCCAGTATAATTCTCCCATAGAGGATGGTGTTGAGCCAGTGCATAAATTGTGGGAAAGGCAGCATTGGAATAAATGTAAATGAAGAAAGTCCAGACGATTCTTTTACTCAGGAACAGTACCTGAGAGATGTAAAATTTGAATCTGGACAATACTGGGTACGACTTCCGTGGAGACTGAACCATCCAGAATTGCCCACTAATTACAGAATGGCATATAGACAATTAAAGACTCAGCTCCCTGAACTGAGTAAGACACCAGAATTGTTGACTGCC